CGCGCCTGTCCCGCGGGGACAGCGCCCCCTCCGGCCGGCGGGCGCAGGGCCGCGGACGAGGCCCCGCGCAACCCAGCGGCCTGGCGTCAGCCGGGCGCGCCGCGCGCCGCCGGGGCGGCCCCTCCCGAGGAGCGTGTCCAGCGCGGCGGCCCTGATCGGATGGCCGAGGAGGCGCTTGGGCGCTGGGGCGCTGACCGCCCCCGCCGGCCTGGGCCGCGGGCTTGGCCCCTTGGCGAGACGGGCTCTCCGAGGAGCTCCCCGCTTCCGCCCGGGCAGCCGCGGGGCGGCGCGGCGGCGCCACCTAGTGGCCAGACGCAGAGCGGCCGCCGCGTCCTTGCAGGATCCAGCCCGCGGGCCGGCCCTGATGCGCTTCAGCTGGGAGCCCTGCGGAACATTGTTCCGCCGGATGAGAGACGCTCGTCGAGTGGGGCGGTGTTTCGCGCCCGTCGCAGCTCCGCTCCTGCAGCCGGCCCGGCCCTCCCTCGCTATGCCATACTTTTGCTGCTCCTGAATCTGCCTGGTTCCCCAGTCCCAGGTACTTCCTTGCTCCGCTTTGCTTCCCGGCTCCGGCGTCTTACCCCGTTCGTGACGGTGGCCGAGTTTGTTCTGTTTCCTAGCGTTGGCCTGCTTCCTGCCCACTCCTGGGACCCAGCTGCCAGTCTCCAGGCAGTGGGCTGGCTCCTGCTTTCCGCCTCAGTTCTTGCCACCCGTGCCCTGGCCCTGGCAGGCCTCCCCTGGAGGGGTTGGACTCTCGCTAGGATGGGGCATGTTGTACTCGTCTCTGTTCACCTGTGCATGGGCTGCTGCCTCACCCTGCCCAACGGCAGGGCCAGCTGTGCTAACCATTGGGCCAGGCCCCCATCACCGCTGCACGCTGGCTTCTGGCCCAGGATACGGATGCCAAAACCCTCCCCGGGAGTGGAGGGCCCCAGGTTGGTACCCTGAGCACCCCTACCTAGTGAGGAGGGAGAGATTTCTTTACCACAAGCTTCAAGTGGTTCTGGTGTATATTAAAACGACGTACTGTGAGTATGAATGGCTCGTTTGTGCTAATGATGTCACTGAAGCCAGCAGCAGAAGTGGTGGCTGTTGAGTCTCAAAGCTGTGTCAGACTCTTAGCAACCCCACGGACGACATTCCTCCAGGCTCTCCTGCCCTCCACCATCCCCTGGAATCACCTCAGCCCCACACCCACCGCCCCAGTGACCCCATCCAGCCACCTCGACCCCTGCCGCCCAGTTCTCCTTTTGCCCTCAATTGTTCCCAGCATCAGGGGCTTTTCTAATGATGCCTTCTAATTATGTACCGATAAGAAAGTTAAGACATCCATACAATTGGCCATTTTCTTCTCCTCAGCCCTGCCTCAATAACAACAAAAAGTGTTGTTCGCAAGGGTTTCCATGTCAGCATGGCCATGTATCAGCTCCGGATGTTGTTCTGAACTTTTACGGAGAGCTACATGGTGCCCAAGCACAGCTCCTTTGAGTCCAGAGTAAAATCCAGAGTGGATATGCAGTCCTGCCGAGCCTGGGGCTGCTAGCTTCCTTTCGGGGCCATCTTACGCCTGTGCAGGCAGAAGGAAATCTTATTTCTCTGGGCCTCCCCAGCCAGCAACGGCAGTGTGTGGTTTAGTTCCTTGCGATTGCATTAATTTGGATGTTATGATTCCTCCCACCCTTCTTGAAGTTTTCCTCTCAAGAAGGGGTCCTATAGCCTGACAGGGAGCTCGGCCCACAGTTAAGGGCTCAAGAAATCTTCTGCCCCGTTTGGATAGTAGAACAATGTCCGGGAGCCCCTCAGATTGGGAAGATGTTTCCCTGCAGGTAGGGAGCTCAAAGTAGTGCCTAATATATTGCTGCTATTCTATGGCATTTTAATCTTATCTGTTTCTTACAAAGAACTCAAGGCAGGTCAGGCGGAGCGTGTGTATTCATGGCTAGAGTCTGGATCTCTTGCCCAACACACTAGAACTGGGGGCGGGGGGGGGAGTGCTCTTTGTGGTTGGCATTTTTTGCAGCAGGAGTTGCTTCGGGTCCAGAGAACATTTATTGATCTTGTCTTGGCTCTGGCTGTCTTTGCCGGGGCAGCTGCTGCCAAATGGACCGCTGACAGTTGACCTAAGCCGCCGTCCTCACCTCTGCCATTAACGCTGTTGACACAGACGGGTCGTCCCACATCTAGTGTGCTGTGTGTGTGCCTTCAAGCAATGGCTTGGCCGCAGCTGCCAGCGTGCTTGGGAGAGCCTCACCTGGGCTCCGATGAGCGCTTTGGCATCCGCTCCGTGGCCGTGTGGCCTGCCAGACACCGGTGCGCTTGCCACCCTCCGCATGAGCACGGGACTCTCCTCTCTGATTGGGCACGCCTTCTTTTGGTGCGCCAGCTCATTGGCCTTCCCGGGATGAGCTTCTTCTGAGTCGCAGGCCATTGGCCAGGGCTGGTGTCAGCCTCTCCGCTGCTGGCTGCATGTCGCGCACCGTGTGCCCTGGGCTGATGTGGAACCAGCCATGCGTCAGCCAATGGCTGTTTCCTCCGATTGTGGTGTGCTGGGAAACCGGGGATTAATCCGCCCTTCCACCAAATGACTGAACTGTTTGCTAAGGGGCCCGAGTGCTTTAAAAAACTCCCTGCTAGTACTGGCACAAGGATACGAATGGACTTAAAGCAGTGCTAACCCAAGGGTTGCTTCTTGCATCGATTCGCGCCTCTGCAAAACATGCCAAATGCCTCTGATTCCCCCCCCCCCTTCTGCCCCCGCTCTCTTCAAGGAACCATCCCAGTTCACAGGTGGCGTTCTCCCCTAGCCAGTCAGACCAGCCAGGAGGATATTCTTTGCTCCAGAAGCCAGAACTGGAAATGCAAAACAATGCTGAGCCAGTCTTGTTGACTCTGCAAATGAGTTTGCTGGCGGGTTGCATGACTGTGCGCCCAGAAATTGTGTGGGGCGTTCTGTGAGGGGTGGGTACCATCCAAGGGGGGTGAGGTGCAGGAAAGCAGATTCTGCCAGGTATTGGGTATGTTTGAACCCACCATTGGTACTTCTCCTATAGACACTCCCTTTGAAAAACAAACTGCTTGGTGAAAGGGAACTCTGCACATGCTCAGAGAAAGTCATTCCTAGGCACCAGAATAATTAGGTACTGGGGAGATGGAGAGAGCTGGAAACAAAGATGTAGGAACCTTTTGCAGGTCCCTAAATGTTGCACTGAGCTGGTAGCATGAGATGATCGGTGGAGCTTTTGTTAAAGAGATTCCATTTTCAGGATTTGAGAAGGTCCCGATTTTTTAAAAAAATCTCCTGGTTTGGCTGTTACACTCTGTGTGTGTGTGTGTGGGGCGGGGGCAGAAAGATTGGACACGGAAGCAAAGAGGAAAGAAATCGTGGTTGCATAAGGCCAGTTTTCACCAGACACCCAAAAACTCCTCGTCCCAGGAATCTCCCCTTGTGGGGTTTGAATTGGTTGTAGAGAGGTGCCCCCAGAGCTGTGGATTTGTTTGTCAGAATTAAGCCACTGGACAGGGACACTCCGAACCAGCACTGATTCCAGATAGACTTACTTGGAAGTAAACCTCATGGGTTTAAACATTCCCCCGCGTGTGGTGACCTTGGTTGAATTGGGGAAGGAAGGTCAGTTGCATGCTACCTATTTAATCATATCATGTCGTCTGATCCCAAGAAGTGGGTAGCAATGAAGTAGGGTAGACAGTCCTCTGTTTGAAACTTGGTTGCAGATTAGTCTCTGAAACTGCCGGCGGATGATCCTCTGTTTAAAAAGCGGTCCAGCCCAAGTCCTGTTTAAAGCATAACAAAAACCAACAAACTCTTAAGAAAGAAAAACAGGGCAATAAATTTAAACTATAGTAATTATTGTGAGATTTCTATCAGTGCCTGTATGAATTTATAGGCATATTTCAGGCAAAAACGTATTCTCACGTAGCTTCTTTTTTTGGTGCTGAATGACTGGGCTTGCTATCACGAAGGCCCAGGCGGGCAGGTTTGACAACACTATGGAAAGAGATCAGCTCAAGGCAGAGAGCTGGGATTGCTTAAAAAAGAACATGGGCGCATCCAGGTTTTGCCACCTCGTCAGCTGGGTGCCACACCTGAGTCCCAGGTGTCTGGCTTGCTGTTCGGAGCTCCAGGGAACCTGCAGCCATGGCGGTGTTCTTTCTCCATATCGCTTCCTCTTTACATTGGCTGCGATCCAGTCTCGATTGCAAGCTGTGTCTGCAGCCCAAGTTTTAAAATGGATTTAATATCTCTGCCTCTGTGTGGTCGGTAAGAGTGTTGGATTGGGGCCTGGCCATTAAGCTCACAGGGACTCTGGGCCAGTTGCAGAGTCCCAGCCGAACCTTCCTCACAGGACTGTTGTTGTGAGGATAAGGTGGAGAGGAGGAGAACATTATAAGCTGCTTTTGATAAGAGGGAAGGTGAGGTGTAAATGTAGTAATAAAGAAAGCTGTGGGAATTGCCACTCCAAAGGGTGGGCAGTGGCAGACCTCTGCATCCTCACTGGGAGCTAGTCCTGGTGAGGTTACTTCTGGTTTTCTTAGGAGTAAACCAAAGCTTTTTGGTTTGCTTTCTTGGAGGGTATGGTTGCGGTAGCAATACAGTCTGTTTCAAGGGTGGGGAGCTTCTTCCAATCTGAGGGTTGAAGTCAAGTTTGCAGTAGTTGGTGGGACCAAGGCAATTTGGGGGGGGGCAAAGTAACCCCCAAATGCCAGCTTAGCTTAAGTCTCTTCCTGCTGGCAACGAAGTCTCAGGAGAGTCGTTTCAAGCTTTTCGGTTTACCAGAGGTGTAGGCCAAATCTTTCAGCTGTGGTCAGTGGATGCCATCGGTTCCACATCTGCCCAGCCTCCAGTGGCTTGGGAAAGAGGAAGGGGCATGGTTCTCTCTGGGAGGGCCCTAGAGGGCCAAGCCGCTGGACCACGAGGTCCGGTCCTTCCCCTTGTGGTTGAAAGGACATGAAGCAAGCCATAAGCCTGATGGATCGGCCCAAAGGTGGGCCAGCCAAGGTGCTTTTGGGAAGTCCAGACGCGTGATACGAAGGCAATAAGTTTCCCTTCCGGTTTGCCTCCCAGCTGCTGCGAGTCTCCGGTGGCACCGTGGCCACGGCAGCCTACCAAACCCGAAGAAACAGAGCAGATGCTTTTGATGAGCTGCACTTCAGGTTCACCCTGGCATTTTTCTTTGGCATTCCTGTGGTTGGGTGGCCACATGACGTTCTCGGCCAGAGTCCCAAGAGGCCGAATGGTTCCCTTGTTGTCGATCTTGGGCATGAAGGGTCCGCCTTGTGGCGCTGGAAAGGGTGATGCAAAGAACCTTAGGAAGAAAGGGCTGCCTTAGTCCCTTGTATTACCTGGAACTTGTAACCCTCCCCATATTTTGGTTCCAAGCTCCCATCCACCTTAGCCAGCTTAGCCAGTCGTGAGGGATGATGGGAGTTACAGTCCAACAAAATCTGGAAGCCAAGGCATTGCTCATTTTCATGTTTATAAACTGTCATTCATTCATGCATTCATGCCACTTCTATCCTAGCTTTCAGCCAATCCGGCAAGGCAGCGCTTTCTCACATGCCTTGCAGCAAACTGAGCTGTGCTGACCGGGGGTGATGGGAGTTGTAGTTCAGGCAGGACACCCACTTGAGAGAAGCCTGCTTTATTTTATTTTATTTTATTTTTGGTCATGCGCTGAGCACCCAACTACAACTTCCAGCATCCTTGAAGGGGCGCCCCCGCTCCAAACCGATCAAAAAAATTGCAGTGCGCTTTGTGACCCCCCCTTTCCCGCTGGATACCTCCCCCCCCCCGCTCGCTGCACACGGCCGTGCCACGTGCCAGATCTTCTGACGGGGGGGCAGTGCGCCCCCCGCCCCGAATCCCCGGCCCGGCGCTCGTCTCGCAGGCGCAGCGAGCGGGTCTCCGCACTCCTTTTCGCGGGGTTCCCTGCTCCCTCCTCCGCCCCGCGGCGGAAGCCTACCTCCGCGCCGGGGGCAGTGAGGCGGACTTGAAAAGCCGCGTGCGGGAGGTGGAGCCCCGCAGTCCGCCTGGAGCCGAGCGAGCGGCCGCTTCGTCAGCCGGTGCGTTGCTGCAGCCTGTCGGGCGCCCGCCCTCGCCATGTCCGGGGAGCTGGAGATCATGGAGTCGCAGGTGATGTGGGAGCCGGACTCCAAGCGCAACACCAGTATGGACCAGTTCCGGGCAGCGGTGGCCGCTGCCTACGGGATCCGCCTGGGTGAGTCCCCGGCTGCGGGAATTACCCCGGCTCGGCGGCAGCGCCGGGATGCCCTCCTGCCTGCCCGGCGGGTGGGTGCGCGTCTGTCTCGCCGCGCATGCGTCGCCGGAGCCTGCCCCCCCCCGCCCCCGGTGCTACTGTATTGCTTGATGCAGCGTGCCGACCTGCAGGGGGAACGTCTGAACCCGCGCAGGGCTGTGGCTGGATGCGCGCGGAACGCGCGGCCTGTGGGCATTCCTGGCTGCAGCGCGCCGGGGCCTGAGGCTGGCAGGGCTGGCGGGAGCGCAGGTTGGGCTCTGCCATCCCCGGGGCTTTCGGTGGGGCGCCTTTCCCCCTCTGCCTGGTTTTAGCAGCGAAATGGCTATCAGGGCTGGGCTGGGTTGAAAGGGAAGGAAGAATGCACCTATTTCTTGGGGGCTGGGTTTCTCTTGCTAGCCCTAAGAATGAAATGGGAACGTCAGAACTAGGTCATGCTGGCTAGCAGCCTTGCTTCTCTGGGTTCAGGGCAGGGATGCTGCTAGCCCTATCTCTGGGGCTTTCCACGTGCGAAGCAGCTGCTCTGCCGCCACTGAGTTGCTTTCTCTTCCAAACAGAACCTCCATGTTCAGTGGCAGTGCACCTTCAAAGGGAGGGATTGCTTACTGGTCCTTGATCGACAGGGTACCTTGGGCCATCTGGCTGGCTTCTGCAGGAAACAATGTGTATTGGCACTGCCAAATATTTATTGTTTCTGGTTCCAAGCTTCGCAAAACAGCTTGGCAGGTAACTAAGTCAGTGCAACTCTATTAAAAAGTAAACATCCAGTAAAAACTGCCACAAGCATAAATGTATTTGTAAACGGAAGGAAAAAAAGACAGCAAGGATTAGGCCCAATCCTTGGAGGGTCGAACTGTAAATGCCTGCAAGTAAAGATGGTTGCACACTGCTGTGGGGGGCGGAATGTCCTTGTGTAGCCGTGGCTGGGGAGCGTGCAAAGGATTGGCCTTGCACCCGTGTGGCCTTCCTCTTTGGGCCTCTGCAGGTTTGGCCGCTGCAGGAAGAGATGGGCCGGGGTTCCCAGCCTGGTGCTCTCCAGCTGTTTTGGACAAAACTCCCAGGATTCCTGGCCATTGGCCTTGCTGGCTGGGACTGACTGGAAGAGGCATCCGGAACATTTGATGTGCCCCAGGCTGGGACAGGTTGTGGCTCTGATCAGAGTCTAAGGAAGCATGTAGTGGCTTAAACAGCAACCGGGTCAAAAAGCCTTCAGATGCTGAATGAACGCGGCGGATGAGGAAAACAACTTCCTGCAAGCCCCTGAGAGAGGCTGGAATGGAGGGAGGGGGGATGCTTGGGCACATGCCAAGGTCCCTCTGCAGCTTTCCTCCTCTTCTGCACTGCAACCGGCCTGTGCAGTGGCCCCGGAAAGGGTGGTGTAAGGAGAAGCAGGTGAGGTCCCAGGCATGGGGAGCAGTGGTGGGAAGGAAGTGGAGAGAGAGGTCAACAGGTGGAGGTGAGGTGGTGAGGTGGAGGTTTGCTGAGGGAGGGTTTGCTTGAGAGCCTCTTGCTCAAGGGCCATCAAAAAGCTGGAACCCACATTGCCTTCCGGACAGGGAAGTTCATCCTGGGGACACAGCGGCAGAAAAGGTTCCCTTGCAGGTTGTCACCTGCCATGTGCCGGAGCGCAGTGGCGTGTGAGCCTAGGGGTGGGCAGCTTCATATTAGAGGAGGCTGTCCTGAAGTTAGTCTGATCCCCGGCCTGAAAGAACTGCACATCGTGGAGTGACAGCCTCCTCGTTGGCTGGATATCTTGGCATTTGGCAGGTTGGCTGGTCTTAGGCGCTCTCGGCATCGCGGTTCTTCCTCCTATAATTAATTTATTTAATACTCTTCCATAATGCCCACTCGTTGCAGCTCTCACAGCAATTAAATCCAGGAAGTACAACACATTCAGCACCCCACAAAAATCTGAGGCTTTAAAACTTGGGTATAAAACAGAAGCCAAGAGCAAAGATTAAAATGCAGCAGGTTTAAAAGCTGATTTAAAGCAGAAACCGAAAGAGCGTCTGGGAAAGTCGGAAGACAGAGCATCATGTAGGCGCCAGGTGGACATTGCTGGGAAACTTTTTCCGGTCAAGGTGCCACGACAGAAAAGCTTCCAGCCTCACCTCCCTTGGCACAACCTGAGGGGTGACCACCGAGGGTGATTTTGGGGACCGGGCGAGGGAGGAGATTAACCTTCAGGGTCCCTGTCCCTTAGGTAAGGATGGAGTTGCCCATGAGCCTGAGCAAGGTGTCCCATGCTGTTGAGCCTCGCCGTGCCGCCCGCGGCGGTGTTGGACTCCCAGGCCTGCCCAAACCATCGGCCTGGATCCTGCTTCCAGAACAGGCTGGGGGGAGCCACCTCCCTCTTCCGGCCTGTTGCGTGCCCAGGCGCCGTGTCAGACAGTTGCTCTCTCCCCTGGATTTCATGAAAGGGAGTCATTAACTAGGGGACCGTTGGCTGTGTTTGTGTTTTGTGAGGGCCTCGGTTTCCCTAATGAGAGAAGGGCTCATCTACCACGTCTCAACTAACCAATATGGTGGCTAATGATTTACAAGCAACGAAGCTAATGGCCTGCTCCTGATGGGAGCAGGTGGCTTTCAGAGCTGATGGAAATTGTTGGGCGAGGTGCTCGGAGATGCAGAGCTCTGGGGGGGGAGGTCGAAGGACTGGGGAGGAGGGGCCAGAATAAAATGGGGACCTCCTATTTTCCCCCCGGGGATTTTTAGAAAACGTGAGGGAGTCTTTCTGTTTGACTCCTGAGTCTTTCTGGTTCCTCCTTTTCCTGGCCTTCGCATCTCTAGGGTGCTGTGTAAGACAAGCAACAGAAGGATCGGGACGAAGAGAAGTGCATCTAATCAACACATGTGCTTTGTCCAAGAAAAGGGGCTGAGCTGCACGTGCCCAGCAAGGGGGGGGGAGCGGGGAGTGGTAGTGCAGAGATGGGAAAATGGTTATTATACCCGTCCTTTTCCAGCTGCACTGGCTGCTGGTTGAAGTCTAGCAGCAATTCAAAGGGCCAGTATTCACATTCAAGGCCCTAGACAAGTTGGGGCTAGGTTACCTGAAGGAGCGCTTCATCCCATATGTACCTACCTGGACTCTAAGTCCACCTTCTGGGGTCCTTTTCCGGAGCCCCCTCCAAAGGAAGTAAGGAGGGTGGCTACCAGGAGAAGGGCTTTTGGGTTGTGGCACCCCAGCTGTGGAATGAACTCTCCAGTGAGGTGTGCAAGCACCTACTCTGTATTCTTTTCAGCACCAGGTGAAACTCTACTTTCCCAGTATTGTAATAGTCAACTTTTTAACTTTAGTTTTAATATTGCATTTTATCCTGTACTGCTATTATACCTCTGTGCTGATTCGGTTGCAATTACGGTTTTTTTTATTGGCCCATTAATTTTTATTGTCCTATTAAAATCTTCCCCTCTTTTTCTGTGTGTGTTTAACTTTTGTTCACTGCCCAGAGAGCCTCAGCTATTGGGCAGTCTAAAGGTGAAGGAAATAATTAGGTGATTACAGAATATCCCTTGCTAAAATGGGATATGAAGGTGTGTAATTAGAAAACAGAGAAATAACATTAAAAGGGTAAAATGATAAGACAGCTTATGTGCAGCAAATGTTCATCCACAGGCTTCAAGCACCTTGTCTTCCTCTAGACCATAACTGAAATAGGTTATATGTTAAAAATACATTATATTTAACTTACAGCCAACTACAGTGAGTTGTACCACTGGTCAGTAGAACACTATCCAGATTTCTGGGCAGAATTTTGGAATTTCAGTGGGATTGTCTTCTCCCGTTTGTATGATGAGGTAAGCCATGCCGGATCTAATCCTTCGACTTGGTTTCTCTATGTAAACATACAGTTGTGTTACAAAGGGCAAAGACCATTTTGGGATGTATTAATTCCAAATCACGAGAAGTAGTAGTTCCTCTATACTCCTCACTAGTCAGACCTCATCTGGAATTTTGTGTCCAGTTCTGGGCACCAAGATTTAAGAAAGATGCTGAAAAATTTAAAGGGGCCAGAGGAGGGTGTCAAAAATGATGCAGAGAAGAGACTGAGAGAACTGAGCATGCTCAGCCTTGAGAAGAGAAGACTGAGAGGGGACGTAAGTACCTGAAAGGCTGTCCCAAAGAGGAAGGCCAAGATCTCTCCTTGCTGACACCAGGGCGTAGGACACAGAATAATCAATTAAATTGTGACAGCCCAGGTTCAGGCTGAACTGATTCTGGCTGGCAGCAGTGGCTGCCCGGGATTCCAGGTGTGGTTCTTTTCCGAGTCGTCCTCGGAGATGCTGGGGCTTGAATCGGGGCTGCTTCGTGCGAGGTAGGGTCTCTTCCTACAAAGAGTTGCAGGCTGCTTCCCTAAATGGATCGGAACCTGGGGGGGTTCGGGGCAAAGAGAAACGGCCGTGGCCGCTTGCACTGGCATTTGGGTGCATTTCGGGGGGGGGGGCAGGGAAATGACGGACGCATGGGCAAAGGGGAGAGCTGGCCGGATGGAACCTTCTGGGCGGGGGGCTGCTCTAAACAGCAGCCTTCCCCATCCCGGTGCCCTTCGGGAGCTTCGGGTTGCCACTCGCGTCTTCCCAGCCAGCATGGGCAGTAGTCAGGGATGCTGGGAATTGTAATGCGAAATAGCGGGAGGGGGCGGGGGGTGCAGTCCAGGCAATGTGGCGGGGAGGCGTTTGTGTGAGCGCTCCGATGAAGCGGAGGGCTGCCCGGCCTTCGAGGCTTGCTCGTTCCACCCTCTCCCATTCACGCCTCTGCTGTCTTGGGACTTCACCTTGCCTGAGGGTGTCTGGTCTTCTTCCTTCAGGTGATTGATCCTTCCAAAGGCATCGCAGATGTTCCGGAGTGGTTTAAAGGCAGCCGGTTGAACTACGCGGAAAACCTCCTGAAGCACAAAGAGAACGACAAAATCGCGCTCTATGCTGCACGTAAGTAACCTTGGTGGACCCGGCCGCCACCCGAAGTTCTGTGCATCTTGACCTCAACCCAGGGGGTGATGCGGAATGCAGTCCTGTGCATGTCGAGATGGGAAATTGGCCTGCACTCCCAGCATTCCTGTGGGCCAGGTCGTGCCACCCCACAGCGCTCCCGAGATGGAGAAAGGGAAGCCCAGCTGGAGCCGGGAGGAGCAGCTTCTCCTGGCGCCAGCCGCCTCCTGGGGCAGCAGGGGGCACGAGGAGGAAGAGCTGGCTGGTGTCTGAAGGAGCACACGCCCCTGCCAGGCCCTGCCAGTTCCTCCCCGCTCATAGCTCTGCTGTCATCTCTGACTGGGGACTCCTCCTCCTCCTCCTCCTTCTCCAGGGCAGATTTCTCCACTGGGTGGAGCTTGGAAACTGAGTCCTGCCTCCTTGGGAGAACTGACGCAGATCCCCCTTGGGCTGCGCTAGGCTCGCCGGCCACGGGTTCTGCATTTCCAGTTTAACCACTGCATAAAGCGGGCCACCCATGAGCCCAGCCAAACTTCAGGAAGAGGCTCACATGACGTTTGGGGGTCACGAGCAAGGCAGACCTACCCGAGACTCCCCCGTGGCTGCAAGACACCCATTCAGTCCTGCTGCGGGAATGCAGTTCCGCTGTGCAGTTTTTAGCGATTGCAGCCGATCCCCAAACCAGTTTGCATGGCTGTCTGTGAGCCCTTTGCCCAACCCTTCTCTCCCTCTGGATCTTCTCCAACCTGCCGAAGGCGTGTCTTGAGCAGCCAATGCCCTTGCAGAACTCGAGTGCCTCTGCTCTCTCCTCCCCGCCTCTCTGTGGGTCCTTCACTTTAACTCCTCATGGAGAGCTAAACGGTTTTGAAGAGTAAGCCAGGAGCCTGTATTAAAGCGAGCGAGCGAGCCTGCGGAGCTCCCTGTCCTTGGTCAGGCACCCCGAATAATCCTTCTTGATACATAAGAACAGCCAGCCGTGCCGGATCAAAGCGAAGCCTGATCTCGTGCGGCCTTTTGCTCCCGCAGTGGCCAACCGGAGCCCCAAAGAGGGGATTCGACAAGCAGCGCTCAAGCCCCGGTCCCTTTGGCCCACGTCCTCCAGCAGCTGGTTTTCACTGCCAAGCAGAAGGCTCAAAAAGAACAGCCCCCCAGGTCCCTTTCACCTCCCCCTTGGGCAGTTTTCATATTCCCGATGCCATGGATAATTGCGGCTAATGGGCAGGCCTGCATCTCCATCTGCGGATTCCCCAACCCTGATCCTACAAGGCAGAGAGGAGGAGGGACCGAGCAGAGCCACACTCTGTTCCAGGAAGGTCTTCAGGAGAGGAGCTCTAAGAAACCTTCTTGGTACTCAGAGTGGGGGGTGCAGCCCCCCCAAAGTTTCTCCATGAGATAAACCACGCTTTTCACCTCCGGAAGGTCCTGGGTTTGTTTCTTTGTCTCTCCAGTGAATCAGCCTGGTTGTCCAGGGGTCTGTGCTGCGGTTCCCATCAGCCCCAGCCAAGTGTGCAAGATGGAGAGGTATATCCCGAGGCATTGTCCTGCCTTTCTTCATCCCCCCTTTATTCTCCTTAAGGAGCTTAACGAGAACTAAGCCGGTGAGGGCTTTTTCTGGCTCCTGGATCAGAGCTTAAGGAGTCTGGCACCGAGAAGGGCCAGTGGCAGCTTTTGCCGAGCGTTCAGGACCGGGCGGTTCAAAACCCCACAGGGCCCGTCGCCACTCCTGCAAAATGCCGAGCAAACGGGGCCGCGGCGGCAACCGGAAGTCAGTCCTTTCTCAGTAAAGCAGCCGGTGAAAGTGCTGCAAATCTGCCCCCGGAGAAGCTGTCTCCAGCCGAAGCGCGTCTGGCAAACAAGTCAGTTTGACAACTTGTCGCGAGGTTTCCTTCTGCCCCTCAGCACCATTTGTATATCACTGAAATGTGGATACTGGTTCCCACTCGGTTTACCGTTTGACCCTCACTTATCTCTCTGGTGGTGACATTGTACATTATTTTGATAAAGTACTGCTCTCCTCCGCCAGAGTTTCAGCTCTTTCTGGATTCCTTGCTTTGGGGTGGTTTTAACTGGTCAGGTAATGACCCGGGGAAGAGATGGGGGCAGATTTGGGGCACTTGTGGTGTTGTACTTTGCGTCCACTTAGGAGCCCTGTGCAGCCTAAAAATGCGGTTTAAGAACATAGGAAGAGCTCAGCAGGGTCAGGCCCAGGAACCCCTAAGCGGGACGTGGATGCCACAGCACTCCCGCACCCATGTTCCCCAGCAATTGGCGTATATAGGCATTTCAGCCCCTGAGACTAGCGTATGCCCAGCAGAGCTGGATACTGTTGATTGCCGTCTCCACCGCGAATTTTTCTAAGTTTCTTGGTGTTCGCCTACATCCTATGGAAGCAAATGTCATAGTTTAACCATGCACTGCATAAGAAGCACCTTTTGTCTGTCCTGGGTCTCCCTGTCCAGTTTTTCCTGGCTGGGGATGCTGTGAATTGTAGTCCCCCATGCCTGGACACTGCAGGGCTGGGGAAGTTTGGAGTGTTCATATTAATTTGTATTTTTTTATTGCCCTTTAATAAAATTCACTGGAGGTGATGGGGAGAAGGCTGACAAGAATAAATAAATTTAAAAATGGTCGTTTAGTAGGGGAAACATAAAGAAATCTAGCTGAAGACAAGAACGACAGCTTCAAAAATATGGAGCGGGGGTCGTTTGGTTTTGACCGCTTTCCTGACTATTATGTTGAAAGTGTGGATTTGGTACTGACCTGTGTTTTCCGGGGCAGAACAGTTTGGCCAGAGTGATCCTTTCAAAGGCAGTGGCCCCCAGACCGGCTGGAGTTTTGGTTCATCGCATCTTTAAAATGAGGTTTTTAAAAAAAGGTTGTAAAAATTCCTCTGTTTGCACTCCTTGCAATTCATTCTTCCAGCAACCCTGTGTGGAAGGAAAGCTCAGTGTTTCCCACCGTGCTTTTTGGATGTTTTAGAGTCCACTTCCCATCATTCCCAGCAAGCATGGCCAATGGGCGGCCATGTTGGGAAGGGTAACGCAAAACCCCTGGATGATACTAGGTCAGGGAAAGGCTCTCCTTGCCCACACTTGGGTAGAAAGTGGAACCTGAGCTGCCTTGCATCACATCTGTCACTCTAACCACTAGGCCACACTGCACCCAAAACTGACTTGTGGGCCCCACCGAAGGTTTGTGATGTTCCTCTCCCTGAAGTAGCCTCCCCCTGAGGTGTTGTGTGGACCTGGTCTTTCCAAGCACCCCAGTGAAAGCGTTCCCATGTAACTTATCCTTCAACCCTCTCTCCACAGAGGAAGGCAAGGAAGAGGTCCTGAAGGTGACGTTCGAGGAGCTGAGGAAGCAGGTCGCGGTGTACGCTGCGGCCATGAGGAAGATGGGCGTCAAGACTGGAGACAGAGTTGTGGGTGAGTCTGCCCCACGGATCCTTTAAGTCGGGCTGCTTAGGGGATCTTTGGACCCCCCTTCTTTTCAAATGGAGCCCAAGGACCGGGCTAGAGTGCCAGAATGGAAAGGAGCTCACTGTTATTTGATCTTTAGTGCACGCTTGCTACCTTTTAGGGTGGGCAGGAGAGAGGGGGGTTGCTACCATGTAATGGGGGGTCCAGAAAGCCTTGCCGCTCTCCCGTGAATCGCCCAGAGGCCTCCTGGTTGCTTCGGATCTGCCCCGGCCCATCCCTGCCGAGCCAGCCAGCTCCTGGATCCTTGGTGACGACAGATGTGCTCCTTCTCCTGCAAACATTCCAATGAATGGGGCTTAGTGCTTCGTGTTTACCCTGGGGTCAAGGGAATGGTTCTTGGAGGGATCCCAAACTTCCACCTCCGGAGGGAAAAAGCCAGCACTTTGTCAGCAGCCTTGACCGGGGGTTGTCGCTTTGCTTTGCTTTGCTTTCGCTCTCCTTTGACTCCAAATCCTGCAATAAGAGTGCAGAATGGGACAAAGGGAAGCTTCTATCCAGAGATTCGTCTGCTCAAAAGCTGGGGCTGCGTTCGTTGTGGGGCCAGGGTTAGTGTGGCGCAGTGGTGAAGAGCATGGGACTGGGACTCAGACGATCTGGATTTGAGTCCCTGCTCAGCCATGGAGCCAACTGGGTGACTCTGGGCCAGTCACAGACTCTCAGCCCAACCTACCTCACAGGGTTGTTGTTGTGAGGATAAGATGGAGGAGGAGATGTAAGCTGCCTTGAGCCCTTTGTCAGAAAAAGGCAGGATATAAATCGAAAGAAAAAAATCTTTTTGGTTTGCTGCCCCCAGCTGTGGTTTGGTGTCACGTCTGACCAGAGGCAATGGCCGCCTACCCGACTTTTGGCTTCTGAACCTCCCACCCCCACCCACTGCCCCGGATACAGTTTCAGGGGTGGGCTAAGGAAAAGATGTGAGGAAGAGGATGCTCGGCGGTGGCTGCTTTTGGACGGGTGAGGGGGCACAGGGCACTTGGGCTCTGATGCAGCCCCCCTGCCTCTGGGCAGACCGTTCTTGAGCGCGAGGGGCAAACTGGCCGCCTGGCAGGACTTGGGTGGCCTTGCCGTTCGGGCTCCACCCCGCCTGGCTCCCGGGCACTCCCGGATGCAGCACGCAGCGCTCTCGTGGGAGCAGCTGTACCTCAGCGGCGCCTCTGCCCACGGGGCGGCCAGGTGCAGCCTCTGGCGCCCCAGGTGGGGCGGAGGAGGAGCCCTGCCTTGGCGGAGGAGCCGGGGCCCCTGCTGACTAGCCACGCTAGCCAAACTCGCGGCGTCGGGCCGAGGACTGGGCTCCGAACGCTGCCTGCCTCCGGCCACTGTGACGCAAGGTGGCTTTTGGCACGCACGGCCCTGCCTCCCCCCCGGGCAGGACTTGCGCAATGGGTGGTGTGAGTTGGAGCTGAGCCCTCCGCCTTGCGAAGCGAAGGTGTCGCAATGTGGGAGGATCCTCCCGGCACTCGAGCTCAGAGCGCTCGGTCTTCGTGCAGCACAAGGGGCGGTTCGGAGGGGCCGGGCAGCTCGTGGCGTGCCAGGGCCGGGCTGTCGAGTCGCCGTTTTCTTTGGCTCGACTGGGGTCTTGCGGGTGTCGTCACACGGGAGGGCAAAGCTTGTATCCTCGAGTTGCGCAGCTGCAAACGTGTGTGCTGCACAAGTGTGACACAAACGCACATACCGTTGCAGGTGAGGTCCAGTGGATCGGTTAGGACAGGTGTGGGCAGAGAGTCGTTCTGTGGGTGTTCTGGATCTCAGTTCCTGGTGTCCTTGACCATGTGCTGATGGGAGTTGGTGCAAAGAATGAGATTTACTGCCTGCTCACGTCTGGTTCAGGAGCCTGGAATTGTGCAGTTGTGCGTGATTCTGTGCCTGGATGAGGAGACCAGGAGAAGCCCCCTGCAAGGGTGGGGCTAGGGGAAAAACAATCCCGTATTTTCTGGGTTTCCCATGTTGTCTCACGCTTTCAAGAGGAACTTTGTCCACTGCCTCATAATGCCCAGAACCTCCTCGGGTTGCGGTGGTGGTGAGTGGGCCTTGCTAAGGCGAATCTTGCGCTCAGCTCCTCGTAGGAAGGCGAGTTGGTGCAGCTAATTCCGCTGTCAAGTTTTGAAAAGTGCTGCAGGACACGAAGGGTTTTCAAAAAATGCACAAAACCATTGACGGTGCGGAGGAACTGGGCGGTCATAGCTGGGGGACATTCTGGGGTGGTTCTGCATGGACTTGTGGACCTCCATGTGGTGGATCCACTTCTGTGAAGCTCTGGAGATCAGAGAGAATCCGGCACGGCGTTGTTACCAGCGCTTGCTGCAGGCATCCTCGTTCTGGGAAGCCTTCCTTGAAACCAGCCGTGGTTTTGACGTCATCCCGCGTTCAGTCCTTTATTTGTTTTGCCTTTCTATTGTCCGCCTCGCCAGAGGCTTTCTTGACACGGAGAGGTGTTCATGCTGCAAATAAAAGATCCGCTCAGCCACTGGGGAAAGCCCACGGAACAGAACGCTGGGAGATTCCGGACGGATGATTTTCATACAGCACCGCACAGTTTGCCATGCTGGATGGCTTTAAAAGGAGCTAGATCGATTCTGGCAGAATCAGCCTGGCCCCTTTCGGGGTGCCTGTGCTACCCTTAGTAGGGGAGGCAACACACTTCTCGGGGCCTCTTGCTGGGGAGCATGGGCTGTTGCACGCATTTCCTGCTTGTGCGTTTCTAGCTGGGATTCTGGTTGGCTGCAGGGGGAACAAAATGCTGGGGTTGATAGGCCTTTGGGTGGATCCACGGTGGCACTGCTGCATTTGAGTGTAGCTGTTTTGGCCCACCCCGTCACCCAGTTCTGGGCCTGTATTTCATTTTGTTTATTTAAAGTATTTCTATCCCATCCAATATTCAGACAGGCTCTCTAGATGGTTTATATAAAAAACAGAACAAGAGTAACAAGGACAGCAAAATCCCGAATAGCACTTGAATAAAACCACCACCAACAGCATATAAAAATAGGTATTTAAGACCATGCTAGCCGTTTGCTTGTTGCAACTAATTGTCGGATTGCTCCAGGTTACCTGCCAAACGGCATCCATGCGGTAGAAGCCATGCTGGCCACAGCAAGCATCGGCGCGATCTGGAGTGCGACCTCGCCGGACTTTGGCATCAACGTAAGTTTCTGTTTGTGACCAGGATTCAAAGGAACAGTCCTTGGCCCCAGCGTGAATGAGCGCTCTTGGGGCGCCCGAGCCACTTTGCTGAGAGCGGCCGAGTCAAAACTGACCTGTTCTCTAATGTCTGTATTAAGCTCCCCTCCCTTTCTGTCTCCCGTTTCAAATCTTTTTCCTCTAGGGTGTCCTGGACAGATTTTCCCAAATTCAGCCCAAGTTGATCTTCTCTATCGAGGCTGTCATTTATAACGGGAAGAAGCACAACCACCTGGAAAAGCTCCAGAACGTCGTAAAAGGTAATACCTGCTGATCAGAGCAACTCCAGACGAGTGCTGCCTTTTCTTCTTGTCACGCTCCCACCGCCCCGGTCCTTCAAAGTCCTCCATAAACCGAGTCGAGGAATGAATAACACGAACCCCGAGCTGTCCAAAAGTGTCCAGCGGTTTGAGGAGAATGCCTGGCAGTGGCTGCTCTTTTGCTGCTCCTGCCTGTCTAGTGGACGTCTTGGAGTTGTTGTGGGTTGTGGGACTCCAGCGCCTAGTGCTTTTGTTTTGTTTTGTTTATTTAAAATGTTTATATCCTGTTTGCTACTGAGGTCTCAGGATGGTCCTACAATAAACAGGGTGGAGCACGGTGTCCAAATTAATTGCTTTGCAAGAAAACCCCACATTAAAATCACACTGAAAGCTTAAAATACTGGGAAAGTAAAAAGGTTTTGGCCTGGCGCCGAAAGGAATAAAGTGTCGGCGCCAGGCAAACCTCTATGGGAGGCGTGCTCCATAACCAGGGTGTCACCACAGAGAAGGCCCTTCTCAGGGTAGCCACCCTCCTAGTCTCCTTCAAGGAGGGCTCCTGAAGAAGGAGCTCCGACCCAGATCTTAAGGGGCAGGCAAACACATAGGGAAGGAGGTGCTCCTTCAGGTATCCAGGTCATACGCCGTTTAGGGCCTTTAGCTTATCACCAGCACCTTAAATTGGGCCCGGAATTCAATTGGCAGCCAGTGCAGGTGGTACAGGACCGGTGTTATACCTGCTGGTCCCTCTTAGCATCCTGGCAGCTCTGTTCTGAACCAGCTGAAGTAAAGTTATGGGGCTGGGCAGGAATGGGGGTCTGTGCTGTGGAGATCTTGCACAGCAGACATGGAAGAGGGTCGGCTTCGGTTACTTGTGGCTCTGGGCCTGCCCCCCAACAGATTAGCCCTCCAATAGAATACCCCCGCCCCCATGGAGGTCAGACTAGGTGGCCCGGGAGGCTCCTTCTGACTCGCTCTGTTTCTATGCTTCTGCCCTGAGGGGATGCAGCCCTTGGTTTGGCTTGGCCCTGTGTGAAAAACTGCCAGTTCAGAACTTGGGGGAAACTGATTTCAGAAAACGGATCCTCTCACTGAAGCCAGGCGTGTGAGTGGAGGGAACGGAGGAAGCCCTTGTGCTTGTTGCTGCTCCAGGAAACTCTGGTTTGCTTAGAAAGGGTATTTTTCACCAGAACTGGGCCTTAGTATTAGGAAGAAGCCTAGAGTGAAAGCATTTGCTGTTCTTGCCACTGAACTCTGCTTCTTTCCTTCTTTTCAGGACTTCCGGACCTAAAGAAAGTTGTGGTGATCCCCTACGTTTCCTCGAGAGAATTGATAGACATTTCCAAAATTCCACACAGGTATAAAGCGGTCCATGCAAACATACTTGTTGCATACAGAATGTGTCTGTTGTTTTTTAAAATGGAAACTTCGGCAAAGATTCGTGGCTTCTTTGGGACTGACAAATGTAGCGGCGTAAACTCTCGTGGATGTTACGTCTGTTGGTTTGTTGCATCTCATGGAATGTAGTCCTCAAAAGCAGCGTGGCAGAATGCATCTCTTCGTCCTGACGTTGCCACTGGTCTCTTGGCTGTTTCTGCAGCACTAGACTGACACAGCTATGCTTTTTCCCAATTTGATGCCGTTTCTGTTTTGAAAACGGTTCCCGATTCACAGGGCTTGATTCTTCTGGCTCATGAATTCACTGATCAGAATGGGGAGGTTTTTCAGTGCTTTTGAAGACAGGGGCATCTGGGTGTGCGAGATACTAGTTGCGGCAGTTGGAAATGTTTTCCGCATTTGCTCACACTTAAAAACAAACGGTGAATAATTTACAGTTGCTATTTTGAGCAGCTCAGCAGTTAGTTGGGCTTGTGTTTTCTTCAGGGTTGCAGTGCTTAACAAGGATTGATAACCAGCAAGCGTTCTGTGCCAATGTGTCGAGCGGGTCCAGACCTTTTCTTGCTCCTCTGAACAGTTCCTTGAGTGATATGGGATGAGTTTGCAAATCAGCACTAAATTTGGGTCTGAGTTCTAATCCATTTGGAACAGCGGGGTCTTCCCCCATTGAGGACATGGCTGCCGTTCCATTTCCCCCACTTCCCATGCGAGTGTCCAAGTACTTAGAAAAAAATGGTTTAATGCAGATTTCCTCCACCTGTTGCTTTTGAGATGCATTGGAGCAACTGCTCCCAGCATTCCCAATCACTGAAATGCCGGGAACAGCAGTCTAGCACATCTGGCAGGCCCCAGATTGGAGAGTTGGTCTGTTTTAAACTCAGTCCATATTAAAGCAATGGTCAGTGGATTAAACCAAACACACTTAATTGACGGCCAGCTGCCCTCATCAGGAGGGGCGCCTGATTCCTGGGACTAAAAGTATTTTAACTCGAAGGGTATTTGAGAACTGCAGACAGGATGATGCCTCTGAGACTCCGTCATTATCTCACAGACCTGCCCTGATGTCTGAAGGGGGTGCAACTCCTGAGTTTCCCTTCCCCATCAAGGGATGAGACATGTAGCGTGTTGCTTCCTCTATTGCCTGCACTGTTAACTTTTTTTCAAAATGAAATTCGATGTGATGGTCAGGATTGGCGATCTGACCTGCACTGATCCAGGCAGCTGGAACTGCAGTCGGCCTCGCATGCAGTCATGTCTGAGAATTTGAGAGTGGCATCCATCCTCCCCAGTTTCTCCTTCCTGTTCTTTTTCCCTCCAGCGTCTTTCTAGAAGATTTCCTGGCAGCGGGCAAGGGAGACCAAGCTCCTCAGCTGGAATTTGAGCAGCTTCCCTTCAGCCACCCTCTTTTTATCATGTATTCATCTGGCACGACGGGGGCTCCCAAGTGCATGGTGCATTCTGCGGGGGTAGGTCTTCTCCCCCTGGCGTGGCAGACTCTCGGGACTCTGTTGCTGGAGAGAGGGAGGGTACCGTCCAGCCTGCAAAAAGGCGAGTGCATCGGGGCAGCAGATTCTGACCACCTGGGCTTGGCTAGTTTTCTGTCGCCAGCGGGATGCGGAGGCAGAGGCTGTGGGGATGGGAAGCACTGCAGCACTTCAGACTTCAGCTTGGGAATCAGGGTGGAATATTCATTACATGGGAATAAGACAAGTTGCCGGGAGAAAACAACCACGACAGGGAAAGATGGGGCAGCAATCTCACATGCTCGTGGGGCCGGCTTGCAGTCCGGAGAGTGGCGTGTTGTGGCTGCAGCACAATAAACAGGTGTGAAAGCGAGCTCGGTGGCAGCCCATCGGTATTATACCCAGACAGTCTAGTCCCCAGTTCAAATTTGGAACATCCGTCCATCCATCCATCCATCCATCCATCCATCCATCCATCCATCCATCCAAAGCTTTTATAGACCGCCCCTCTACTGGCAGTTTACAACAAGCAACAGATAAAATGCCACAGCATCCAGTAATTCAATAGTATAAAGTATAAAGTATAAATAGTATAAAGTATAAAGTATTCAATAGTATAAAGCCACATTCAAACCAATTAAACATTAAAATAATGTTTCTGCCTGATGCTGAAAAGGAAAAAGCGTTGGCGCCAGGCGAACCTCTCTGGGGAGTGTCTTCCTTTCCAAAATTGCCATCTAAGCAGGTAGAGAGTGGTGAGCGAAGCTTAATTTGTCTGAGAAACTTTTTGCCACTTGTGAGAGGCAGCTGGCAAGATGGCGGGCGCTCTCGCGTTTTTATGTCGTCGCAGGCAAGGCGCAGGTAGCAGCGAGGGTGAAAAGCTGGAGTGGGAACACGAGATGTGCCACTTCAGAGCGCGTTTCTGTGATCAGAAGAAGAGCTGAGCAGCAGCCAGAATGTTAGTTTCAGCAGTTTTTTAAAGCGTACAAGCTGAGACGAAAGAAAGGACGTGGAATTACATTCCTGTTGACTGTGGCATTCTCCTCCCTGTAGTCCCAGCAGAAATCGCCCCCAACCTGAGCAGCAATTAGTGTTGAGGAAGACATTTTTCCGGCGCTTTGGGAAAGCAATTGCCGTGTCGTGGTGGGGGGTGGAGTTCACTGGGATTCTCGCTGGGTAGGGAAGGGTTGGCTCTCCCCTCCCTTTGCACTGTGATCCTGATCAGAATTGAACCCTGTGCACCCCAAGCATCATGCAAAATGAGGCATCACAGGAGAGGTGAATGGTCATCGTGCTGTCCAGGTACCTCCCCGGTTTGGCTCTTGCTAGAACAAAGATTCAACGCAAAACAAAAATTCTGCTTCTGCCGCTAGATGGCGGCAGGATATTTCAGAACAGAAGCAGTTGCTCCAGGGTTTGGTAAGAGAGAATACAGGTTCTGCAAGCTTTTCCTCCTCTGCTCCTGAATTTACGCAAAGCCCGGAGAAGGAGTGATGTTCTTTCGGATATTTATTTACAAACGACCCCGCTCCATGCCAGGGGTGCAAAACGCAGTTCTAGGGGATCAAAGGCGGTGTTTCTTTCTGTCCCCGTCGTCTTTCACGCAGCCATGGACAGTCGGGGGGCTTAGAAATGCTTCCCCCGAGACTGACTTCATTGCACGAAATGTGACGGCATTTTGACCGAATCCTTTTTGCTTTTAGCTCTGTCCCCAAAAATGTGGACTGGAAGTGAAATTAAGTTCAGCACCTTTCTTGGAGCCTCGAGATGCTCCCCAGTTGTCCCTCTGGCTATCACTAGCACCCATCTCCAGCTTCTCTGGATGCTGGGGGTGCCCCTCTCTTTGCTCTTGAAGCCTTTGCAGCCCAAGGACTCCATTCCAGTTTGAAAAGGCTTTGGGGAGCCTCACCCTAGAAAGGGGAGAGTTGAGCCCATGGCCCTAAACATAGCCGGAAGGTCTTGCTACCTGTAACAAAACCATTGCAGCCTGGGGAGGGGGCTGCACAAAAGGCAGGGGTCTGCCAGGTGAGCGGAGAAGGGCAGCAGGGAGAAGCGGTGCGGTGTTCCAGGGATCTTGGTGGGCAGGATTGGGACCTCTGCCTCCTGTGTGAAGGCGCTCACGGCAGCATCAGCGGTCCTCCCCATTTCCCCCTGTGGGTGCCCACAGCAATCCCACGAGGTTGGCCTGGCTTTGAGAGACGGGGACGAGTCCCAAGGGCACCGGCTCTCCCTACTTGGCTTCTTCTTTTCTTCTTTCCATATGTCTGCCTGTGCCCACCCAGGGAACACTGATCCAGCACTTAAAGGAGCACATTCTCCATGGCAACATGACCAGCAATGATAACATCATGTACTACACGACGGTAAGCGCCTTCTCCTCCTCCTCAACGTCTTTCTTGTCCTTCAATTCCTGCTTTTTCTCCCCCTCCCTGCTGTCCTCCTCCTTTTCATTTTCCTTCACTTCCTCTTCTTCCTTCGCCTTCTTCTGTTCATTATTTAGCAAATTGGAAGCTGCCCCCTCCACATGGCAGCCCTCGGGTAATGCACAATAAAGATGGTTGAAAGTTCTTATTAAACAGGTCAAACCAGAAGCCATGAGGGAAAAGGGCCATAAAATGGGAGAATGATGTTAAAATTGAGGAGCAGCCAAACAAGTTGCTGCCCTCCAGATGGGCTGGACTACAGCTCCCATCAGCCCCTCCCAGTGTGATGGGGATGAGGGGTGTTGTCCAACACATTGGGGAAGAATGCTGGCTTCAGGGAGGCCGCGATAACTTGTTAGAAGCCTGATTGACTGATAATAAGCTAAGCTAGCAAGGCAGTGCAGGGCCATTTAAAACAGTAACCTTACCAATAAACTGAGAAATGAACCCCCAAGACACACACAATACCATTAAAAACACTGAACAATTAACTCTGTGTTTCATTTCTAACTTTTTAAAAACTCATTCATGATGCTTAAAATAATCCCAATAATAAATGTTCTTTGGGCAGATTACAAAGGACTTCAATTCCAACGTACATTTTCTTTCTGTCTTTCTGTCTTTCTCTCTCTCTCTCTCTTTTCTTTTTCTTTTCTTTTCTTTCTGAAATGAGTTTTCAAAACAGTTACTGCCGCTCTTGCTTTATTGTTCAGATTCCAAAAAAGAAACCCCTGCGATTTACAGAGCTATCCTAAGCACGTCCGCTCAGCAAGTCAGCCCCTTTGAGTTCAGTAGAGTTCACTGCTAGGAAAATATACAGGATCCTAGCCTGCTTGTGCAAGCCAGTATTTATCTTTGCAGATTCACTAAAGGTACAATCCCAGGAATGTTTAGGCAGAAAGAAAGTCCCATAATTCCCAGCTTTCCCCAGCCCACATCGTTTGCAGCCACAGACTGCCTGGGATTGCGACTTAAATCAGTTGCCTTCCGCTTCACTTGGACACACTGTTGGGGCCATAGATCACCCGTGCGACGTGGGCTCTGCTTTGCCGTTTTGTGACAGCGCGACAGATTTGTGTGCACAGCATTGTCCTTGAGAAGGAAGTGCGAGATTGGCTTCTCACAGCTCTGGAAATAGGTGACGACGGGCGGCCTCGGATATGACTCTGCCTCTCGGAAAGAGAAACGCTCAAACGTGTTTTTCTCCTAGACCGGTTGGATGATGTGGAATTGGCTGGTGTCTGCTCTGGCCGTGGGTGCCTCGGTGGTCCTCTACGACGGCTCGCCCCTCGTTCCGAGCCCCAGCGTCCTGTGGGATCTGGTCGACCGACTGGGGTAGGTAGTCCGTGCGGGACGACGGGCCAGGCACCCCTTGGCTTTCTCAAGGGGGCTTCCGTTTCTGTGCGCGTCTAGACAGAAAAGTGGCCAGCCCCTCCCCACCTGAACCCGCCGCAGGTCACTGACAAGCCGTGATGGTGCATGAGAGCTCGAGCTGTGTCAGAGCCCGGAAGGACGTGCCCTCGCGAACAGGGTCGCCTCGATTTGCTCGGCTTGTGCGTTTCGATAGGCTGCTTTCCAAGACTGGTGTCATGGCATTGAGTGGGACTCCGGAACAGCATAGTATATTGCCCGTTGCAGGGAAATGGTCCTTTGTCCGTTAAAAACACGTCTTGGCCGGAATCCTCAGCCCTGATGGGTCAGTGGGCAAAGCTGGGAGTTGTGAGTGTCTTGAGAATGCTAATAGAATGGCTGCCACTGCTGATTGAGGCTCCTGGAGATGCGACGGAAGGGACCTCGTCCAAAAGCTTAGCTGCAGGGCAGGGGTAGGATCCGAGCTCCAAATGCAACCTTCACCCCCATTCTGGCGAGGTTCGCAGGATGGCCACACGCTTGCCGTGCCGACAGAGTCTCTGCAACACCAGAAATCGACGGCTCGGGGCAGGAAGCATCCTCATGCTTGCATTCAGCGAGCCCAAGTGTTGGTTTGGTGTCCACCTGAGGCGTTGAAGAGCTGGTGACAGAGAGCCGACCCCCTTCAGGAAGGCCTCGGGCTCTGGCAAAGTCTTCAGGAGCTGCTTCTGGGTGGTGGGGGGCGGGGGGGGTGTGGCAGGGAGGGTTGTGGTGTTCGAACATGGCCTTGTGGCAAGGACCGGCACGGGGTCTCCCAGTGTTTAGGCGGGTCTCTTTCTTAGCCCTAATGGGGAATGCCTGGGACTGCGTCCAGGGCCCTCCTGCAGAGATGTGACGGCAGCAGAAGGGGGACCAGCCAGGGGCCCAATCCAGCGTTCTCCTTGCATGCATTTTTTTGCAAACAGGGCTATCAACACACAAAACCCTGTTCTAATCAGGCTCGTTCCTTTTGCTTGTAGGATCACTATCCTTGGGACTGGCGCTAAATGGTTAGCGGTGCTGGAAGAGAAGAACCTTAAACCCTGTAAGTGCCAGAGTGCCCTTGAGTCACTCTTGGCTTTGGGGTCTGCTGGAAGGGTTTGCCATGGAGGCATCGGCTCGGCCCGGGCCCGTGCTCTCTCGGCCCAGAGAGGCCTACCTTTAGGAGCGGCCGGGAGTGAAACAGCACCGGTTCCCAGATGGAAGCGCAGAATTAAAACGGAATAAGGGAAGGACGGTCATTCCACTTGGAGTGACTTTGATTTTTACGTGGTGCTTTCTCTTAAGGTGAAACTCACAACCTTCAGACGCTGCACACCATCTTGTCGACTGGGTCACCTCTCAAGCCGCAGAGCTACGAATACGTCTACAAGCACATAAAGAGCAGTGTCCTTCTCGGGTCTATCTCAGGTGAAGACTTGCTAGATCCCATCATTAAATCTGCTTTTACCACTGACTTTGGCATCCAGGATTTATTCTGCTCCTTGACATCTGAACAGGATCGCACACCCCTGTGGTGGTGGTTCATTTTCGTTGCTTTACCGGATTTAAGTGTGACTTTATGTGCAATTTACACTGTGTTGCATGAGTACGTCATGGAGCGGTGTGTGCAACCCAGATGTGTCAGAATGCAACTTCTGACATGCTTGGGAAAAGTGCTCATTAGTATTATTAATTACAATAAAAATATTGCTTATGGGCTGTTCTCATCTCGATGTAGGTGGCACAGATATTGTTTCCTGCTTCATGGGCCAGAACATGTCCATTCCTGTTTACAAAGGTGAGATCCAGGCACGGAATCTTGGAATGGCAGTGGAAGCTTGGAATGATGAAGGTATGCAGAGTTCCAAAAAAGCTGCTGTTATTATTTATTTTATTTCATTTTATTTATTAAAACATTTCTATGCCGCCCCTTGCCGAGGCCTCGGGGCAGCTTACAACATCAAATAAAATACAAAATACATTAAAACAATAACAATTAAAATATATACAGTAAAATAAAATAAGCCGCCCTGGCCGAATAAAATTCAATAATATTAACATTTAAAATGCTGCTTAAATAAAAAGGTCTTCGCCTGGCGCCGAAAAACAAATAACGACGGCGCCAGGCGGACCTCTCTGGGGAACGCATTCCATAACTTAGGCGCCACTGCTGAGAAAGCCCCCCTCCGAGTAGCCACCCTCCTAATTTCCTTCACTGAGGGCTCCCGGAGGAGGGCCTCTCCCGCTGATCTCAAGGGGCGGCTGGGCATATATGGACGTAAGCGCTCCTTCATTAATAAATTGTCAATAAATTAATATTATTTATTAATATTGTTATTCATATTGCTTCCTAGCCCACTCAGGTTCTGAAACTCCCTGGGCAGTTCCCAACAATTCATAAAACTAAAAAGTATGAATATATAGATAGTAAAATACAACTTCAGTATGCAAAATGTGGGGAAAAACCACTAAAATTTCGTGCATTCTCCTTTCCATTCCGAAAAGCTCACATGCCTTTCTTAAGGCTTAATTACTTGCACTAAGATTTTAGCTAAAATATGTTGGGTTTGTGTGTGGGGGGGCTACCTTTTAGCCCCATGCACCTGTAGAACGAGTGTCCCCAAGACTTCTCTGAAACAGCAGAGACAATTTTGCCCATCGCTGCAGACCTTCTATTTCGTGATGAATATATTGGTCGTATCCTAAATAGTGGAGCAGGAAAAAAGATGCGTCTCCCTGTGTTCCTTTCCACAGGCAAGCCAGTCTGGGGGGAAAGTGGAGAGCTGGTTTGCACCCGGCCCATGCCTTGTCAGCCGACACACTTTTGGAATGACGAGAACGGAAGCAAATATAGGAAGGCGTATTTTTCAAAATATCCAGGTAAGTAGTGAGATAATTTTGGTGCAGAGCTCTTTCCCCCCCTGCTGTTGGCTGTCCTGAGCCGATAAGCCTGCAGAACTAATATTTGAACATTCAGTGGAGAATTACAGTTGGGTACCAATATTTGCTTACGAAATTGTGAACTTGATCGCGCTGGCATGTGGAGCATCTTTTTTGCCTGCCTGCCATCTGTGTGTCTCCCTGCTTCCCCCATTTCACTCCTGAAACTCTCTTTGAACCCACCTGGCCACCTGAAACTCTCTTTGAACCCACCTATTTCTGGTACCTGTTCACCAGTGCCAGGAATGGACTGGGATCCATCTGTCAAAAAGAAAGTAGGAAAGGAGAAGAGAGCGTAAGAATTGACGGCGCAACTGAGCCTTGGCCTATTCAGCTCCACAAATACTTGCAGCAAGAAGCACTTCAAACAGTGTCTCCCTTTCCCACCCCCGGACAGGTGTTTGGGCTCACGGTGACTATTGCAAAATCAACCCCAAGACGGGAGGGATCGTCATGCTTGGTCGCAGGTAAGCCATCCCCTCGGCTTCGCCATCTGCGGAGGAGGCATCGTGCTAGCTGGAGAGCTGGCTTGTGGCCCACCTGTCGGCAGGTGACCGAAGATGCAGTGCCAGTTTGATTTGGCTCATGGGCTTGGATTCCTGTGGCTGGGCTGGGAAGTTTCACTGGCGGCATCTTTCTCCTGTCTGTCTTCTGCCCTCACACCATGTGGAACCAGGTGTTCGAAACTTCTGTTCTGTGCCTCTTCGCCAGTATCTCTCTGGCAGCTTCCTCTGACCACTGTGGCGTGATGGCTGGAACTGCAGCTTGGGAGACCCTGGTTCTAGTCCCCGCTCATCCCTAAAGCTCACTCAGTGACTTTAAGCCAGCCGCAAACTTTCAGCCTATCCTCCCTCACAGGGTTGTTGTGCGGATCAAATGAAGAGGAAGATGATGGGAACTGCCTTGGCTTCCTTGTAGGATAAAAGGCAGAATATCCTGGAATAAGAAGTTAGAATCTCAGCCCAGTGCCCTGCAGATGTGTTGGTCCAGAATGCTCAGAATCCTACAGGGGGAGTGTGGGAATTGTAGCCCCAGATGTGGAGGGCTGAGAAGGGCTCACCCGGAGGTGTGGAGTCCTACAGCTCCCATCAGCCCTCACTACTGCAAATGGCAGCCCGGGCTTGCCTTCTCCTCTGGACTCCAGCGGCTTTTTAAGGAAGCTTATTTAGAAAGTCTGCTTCCCTGCAGTTGGCTTGATATCATTGGCTCTTGCGAATGGGGCGGCATAGAAATAGTTTAATTAATAAACAAACAAACTGTTGTGGGAAGGACTGTCCTTCCTGGCATCTGAGCCGAGTTCCAGTTAGGCTTGGTTCTGATGGCTGCTGGCCTGGCTTGCAGGCACTCCGGATTTTATTTGGCGTGCTCTCTATAAAAGGCACTGCTGAACTAGCATCCCGGAGTGCCGGGGACAGGCAGCACGGCCGTGAAATCTACTTAGAGCGATTAAAACAGATGTTCTCTGTGCGGCACCTCCCTGCCTTCTCTCCTCTGACCTCTTCCAAACTCGCACGCGCTTCATTCTGATGGGTCTGAATCTTTAGAGGATAACAGTACCTTGAACCACGGTTAGCGCTTTGCCTCGGGGGTCCCTCTGCATTGCATCTTTAACGCTGTTGCCTTACTGAGAAGCAAGATGTATCGCGCCCGTTTTGCTCGCCATCCGACCTCGCCCGTGTCTTAACGACCCTCTCCGGCATTGTCCTTCCGCAGCGATGGCACGCTGAATCCGAGCGGAGTGAGGTTTGGCAGTTCGGAGATCTATAATATAGGTATGCAGCTTACGTTCACTGGTGCTTCTCCCCGCCCCCCCACCCCCCGAATTGTGAGATGGGGCAACTTTTATCAGCTGTACCAGTTTCCGGAGGGGCTGCTGTGTGATCCTGTTGTAGCCAAGCGACAAAGAGGCTTGTCACACCTCCGAGGCTGGCCCTTTGATCTGGCTACAGCTTTCGTGGGCCGTGAGCAGAAGCACAAGACGTTATCGAGAGTGTCAGGTCCATAATACGCTTGCACCCTATTAATTTCCCCCCCTTAAAAAGCTGCCCCGAACGAAGTGCTGCTTTGAAGATTTATTGTCGCCGTCGCCTTCCAGGAGCCCGGCGTTTGTGCAACGCGCCTGCGTTGCGAGATTGTCTTGGCCCATCTGGCGTGAGCAGTCCCTTTGCCGGGGTGGCTCGCTCGTTCCAAGAGACAGCCAGCGCACACAGGCCTCGGTTGTCTCGAGTGAAGCCTCGTTAATAGATTCCTTTGACTGCTCTCTGCTGCCATAATTCTTGCGTGCGCACAAAGAGGTTGTCAGCACGGTCCATGAGCTGGTGGAGAGCCTGCGGTAATGAGGGGCAGGCGAAGGCGGTGGCGCAGAAGCCGCGGCCGAGTGAATCGGGCCACTGTTTGGCTGCAATTCTATCCCCCTGTGTGGGCAGCAGTGAAACTTTAATGGCCTTCCCTTTTCACCCTCTGTTCCCCCAGTTTTATTTCCTTGAAATACTCTCTTTGTTATATGTTTTCCCCCTCCTTTTGGGGAAGGGTGGGAGAGGAAGGACGTGGCTGACATATTCAAATCCAAAAGGAAGCCAGAGGGAGCGTGGATTTCATCTCCCACACATGACCATCCAGGCACCTGTGAAGGGCTTTGCGTGGGGCCACGACTTACCATGACCCTACTAGCGATGGAGAGCGTGTTTTGGTTTACGCACTGGGTATCTTCTGGGCTGGGTTCCACTGGATTCTTGGCCCATTGCACCACAGTGGAGCCCCTGCTTGGCATGCGAGGGTCCCCAGTCCCAGTCCCCAGCATCCCTGTGTCCCAGAGAGCGACTGCCAGCCACCCGAGCACCGTACCAAACCTTGGGAACTCAGTTCGAGAGAAGGCGAGTGTCCAGGGACACCCACGGAGTTCTGTGTCCAAACAGGGATTTGAACCCACGGATTTGATCCCAGCCCCTAATCTGCCACGCTGAAGGCGACAAAGCACTGGCTCTGGGATCCCATGGCTTTTAGCCTGCAGCTCCCAAGCACACCTTGCGGTTCGCAGTTTAGAGGGAAAACCAATAGGCTCATGGAGACTTCCTGCCCCTTCCTCTGATGCACCCCTTGCCAGGCCGAATTCTTGATCCATCTTTTGCTCCGTTTGATCCCTGGCAGCTTCTCCACTAGGGCCAGCAACGTTCCCGCAAAGGCAGGTGGTGGTGGTGGTGGGGGATCCAGTGGCCATCTTGGTCACCTGGGCTTTGGGGCTGCGAGGTCTTGGACGGCCAGAAACCAGGTCAGGCTAGTGACTGCCATAGATCGCCAGCCACCCGTGCAGGGGGCTGGAGGCGCCCGTGTGTCCAACCCAGCTGTTTCTCGTTCGGGCAGTGGAAGCCTTTGAGGAGGTCTCCGACAGCCTCTGTGTCCCCCAGTACAACAAGGATGGTGAAGAACGGGTGATTCTCTTCCTGAAGATGGCCACGGACCAGAAGTTCAGCCCAGATTTGGTGAAACGGATCAGGGAGGCCATCCGCGCCGCACTCTCGGCCCGGCATGTTCCCAGCCTCATCCTAGAAACCGAAGGCATTCCGGTATGTCAAGGCTGTGTTTTTCTTCTTTCTTGCCACCACGTTTTATCAATTTTTTTCATTGTCACCTTGGAATAGTAATTAAGGAACAGTTGTCATCCCTCTTCAAAGCCCACACATGCCTGGAAATTTTAGCCTCACTTTTCCCCTCCTGAAAAAGTGTATTTGAATTTTATAAATAGTTTTGTCTGGGTTGCTTAGCAACTTTTGTGTGTGTGCATGCGTACTTTTCTTTTCGAATAAGCCTTCTCCTTTTCTTGCTTTTTTGTGTACACACACACACACACAGTTAATTTGACTCACTCACTCTCCAAGCCCTATTCTCCGTTGAAGATCCATACCTGATTTATGTGCTCTGTTGAGTGAGAATCCTTGGGTGTTCTTAATACACACATAACAAAGGATTATGCTTTTGCTTTGTCTGTGCCCAAAAGCTGCTTCCCCTCACCCCCCTGCAAAGCATTCCACATTCTCCCATTCTTACAATTTAAAGAAAATAATTTTGCAAAATGTCTTTTTAAAAATCCACCCCCTTCCTATTGTGAGGGCCCCGAAAGGGCTGGTTTAGGGGCTCAGAAAGTCCCTTAACACTAAGGGTATTTGTCCACTTTCAGGTATGTATGACTCCTCCCCGACTTACTGCGGAATTCTTTTGCAAGAGCCAAAGGAAAGGCACAAGGTGGAGACGTTTAGCATTAGTCAACTCTATTCAAGGTGGACTGAGAAGATTTGGGGCTGTCCTCGGCCAAATGCCAAACCTTGAAATAATCGCCCGTGTGTTCTGACCGCTGTTCCCGTCTCGCAGGGCATCCTGGTTTTGTGAGCTGGTTAGAGACCTCCCGATTCCTTACCCACCTCGCCAGACTACAGTTCCCCGGGTGGTTTTGGGGAAACTCTAAAAGCTATTCTGGTGGAAAAGTTTGTTCAAGTGAAAGCTGAAGAGGTCTGCCCTCCGGATGCTTGGGAGTACGACTCCCATTATTCCTCAGCACTGACTGTGGGCTTCTGGGAACTGTAGTCCAAAACTTCTGGACAGCACTAGATTGAACAAGAGAGCTCTGAGGAGCCATGGGTCCAGAGATCTTAGCTGGGGCTCCGTCTCTCCTGCCGTGGAAGGCGTGGATGGAGGTAATTCTGGAAGCCACGCCGCATCCTTCAGTGGTTTTGTGGTGCTGGTATGTTAATTCCCCCATTCTAAAAAAGGTTTGGGTTTTGAAAGGAGGTATTTTGGGCCCTGCCTTCAGTCCACACGTGGAAGATTGCCCCGTGAGCTTTTCTGAATCTGAATCAGGCCTTGGAATGTAGTCCAACGTCTCTGTTCCATTCTGGGTGCCAGAAGCTGCTTTGTAGTCTCTTGCCTCGAAGGGCCTCCGCCTCGCTCCCCCAGCCAACAAGCATGGCTCTAAAACCTGCAATGTGTGGGGAGGGGGGCACTCTTGACCCCTTTCCTGCTCTCCCCACCCCTGCTCTCCTGACTCTCTCCACGCCGTTGGAGATCGGCGTCAAATAGCTCAGCCAACGTGAACGCAGAGACCAAAGAGAGCGGCATCGAGGTGTTTATATGACAGCTGGGAAGTTGGGAACCCTGGTTGCGATGAGTAATTAGCTCACACTCTGGAGGAATTTATAACTGAATTCTAATTATGGTGGAGGTAAAAATGTGCCAACACAGAAGTGATTGTCGCTGTATTCTTGCTCTCTCCAATCGTTTCTGGCCATTCCTTTTCTTTGTGCTTCAGCTCCTGGAAGTATATTTAGGCTTCTCAAAAACATCTCAAAGCTTCTCCTTGTTTTTCCTAGTAGCCGAGGGGCTCTTGCGAGCTAAAACCCCAGGACCGGGTCACCAGTGCCCCCTCTAAGTAGGTCGCGGTGCAGAACGAACAGGCCTCCGTCTTGGTGGCCACCTCTCAAAGAGGAGATCCCACGCAGTGACCTGGTGCGGTGGACAGTGTGGCACTGGGATGCTCCCAGTCCGGTTCTGGCCTCCCCTTGGCCACGAAGCTCCCTTGGGGGACCTGGACCAGTTGCTGCCTCAGCCTAATCTCCCTCCCAGGGTTGTGAGGATTGCAGGGAGAGGCAGAGAGGGACCAGATAACCCCCCCCCCCCACCCCCCTTGGGCTCTCCTTGCAAGGAAACGGAGATACACATGTAATAAAAAAACGAGGCAGAGGTCAGATGTGAACCAGAGGCCCTGCTGATTCACAACCCGCTCGCGCTCTTTTCCGCGTGGATTTGAACCTGCATCAGGACCAGCCCTTTAGGAGGATCGTGGGTGTCTTGGAATGGTAGCAAATGTCAGGTACGAACTGTGTTCCCGCCACATCTTCGCTGCCAGGCCGGCCTGCCTGGGAATTTTCGCAGAAAGCGCTCACCCAGGGCCAAAGCAGCCCCCGCGTGGGGAGAACCTGTGTCTTTTGCTGCCTTGCCTTTAGGTTGGAAAATGTTGCTCCAACTGGGTGAGCCGCACCGGGAGTGACATCCTCAGGTCTGTCTCGCAACGACACTGTTGTTTCATCCTCCATTTTGCAGTACACAATCAACGGGAAGAAGGTTGAAGTGGCTGTCAAGCAGATCATTGCTGGGAAGGAGGTGGCTCAGCGCGGCATCTTCTCCAACCCAGAGTCGCTGGACCTTTACCGAAATATCCCCGAACTCCAAGACTACTGAAGGAACTGGCCTTCTCTTGGTGCTTGTACATGTGTGTGTCTGGTTTTGTATCATGTATATAATATGTATATGGATCCTGTATGTAAAAGAAACTTATTTAAGTGACGGTGTTTCCTTTAAAAGGAGAAATACGGTTTTGTTTTGTTTGGCCAAGTGTTTCACGGATGGGCTTTCCGGGGAGGAGCCGTGAGGCACCTTTTGGCTCTTGTCGTCGTTGCTCTTCCTCCAAACCTAGACAAGCTTCGCCTCCTTTTAAATAACTGGATACTACACAAACTTTTTATAACATACTAAATGCATGTCTTCTGGTTTGAATTTTATCTCGAAAACCTAAGGGAAGAGGGTGAGATGGCCACACAGGTAGTAAACCATATTCCATTTGCGTAGAGTTACTTTTTCGGCTGTTGTGCCAAGGATTCTGGGAAACTTGACCTGCCTGCTCAGTGGGAAGGCCACGAAAGGGCAGAGGTGTGCTCTTGGATCAGGCGCTTCAGCCCGAGCCGGCTCTCTGGGAAAGCTGAGGGTGCGTCCTGGACCACATCCCAGAATCCTTTGCAACACGCAGGGCCCTGTGGTTGGCACTCTGTGTGCAAAATGTGTCCCGAAGCAGGGAGTTCTGAAAAGCGCTGGCTTGAAGTCTCCCATTCAGTTCCTGAGATCTTCACGTGGCTTTAAAAATAGAGAGCTGGACGACTCTGGTCCGGGCTTAACCTTTTTTTAAAAAGTGAAAGCGTGAGAGAAGCGAGTGCAGTTTTGCTTTTTTCTCTGCTGCTGTGCTAAATGAGTCTTGCCACCCACTGCTAAGTGTGAATGGGGTCGGCCCTCGTCAGGGCCTGTCACGCCAGCCTGCCCTCGTGATCCGCAGGACCGGTTAGTCGTGGCCTGCCGACAGGCTGTTGCTTCTGCACGGGGGTCGTGTTCCTCCCTCGGACTGGCGTCAGTTTTGGCTGCTCCATCAACCCAGTGCCGAATTTGGAGGGGGGGAAGGAGGCGGTGCCGAAAGCGTGGCTGCGGTTTTCTGATGCGTGTGTGTTTTTAAAGGAGCTTGTTTATTTTTTTACGTGAAGGAAGTAGGTCTCCTTCCATGTGCACGAGTCACTTGCACTATGCAGAGCCTGGGATAGGAATTACAGGCCCATCTGGAGGGCGTGGGCTGGTGAGCACCAGTCCTTTGCGGGAGCCATATTAACTGGGCAGGAGCCAACTCCGCATAGACTCTGCCCTAAACAACAGGTGCGTCAGCTCTCTCTCCTCAGCTCCAGCTTCAGGGGAGCTTTGATGGAAGAACAGACTCCCCCATGCCCGTATGATGCATTGCATGTCCGAGATGGGAGCACTCCCCCTTGTCTCCTGGAACCCCAGTGAGTTTTGTGTTTTTGCCAATGTGTGTAACCTACTTTTACTTCCTTAACAAACAAACAAACCTAAAGCTGATCTTTGGTGGTGACAAGGGACGTAAAAGATCTGAAGTGGTTTCTTGGTGCTTGTCTTGGTCTTGGTTTTTAAAGGGATCCTCTTCCCACCCCTAGTAATGCAAACAAGGTGCTAGAAACACAGGGAGTCATCACCGTTGTGGTGCTTGTGAAGAACAGTCCCGTTGCGAGAACCATGCTGGAAAAGGGTTTGGTCTTCGGGCAACCTGTGTGTTACGGTGGGTAGAGGCTGTTGGGGATCTTTTTCGAATCATGGTGTTGCACAAGTTCAATGCTATTTCAAGGGATTTAAACTTAATAAAATGCGGAATGATTTCTTGCTTTCCCTGGAGTGAATTGATTACATGAGTACTGGTATGTACAGAGCTGAGATCAATACACTTGAAAAAGTTTTGCATTGGGAAATGGTGTCCTATCAGGGAAGCAGCGTGCAAAATACATGCCGGACTGTTAATTTTTCATGATTTCTGGGAGGTAGACACTTACTAGTTCAGGGGGTTTTATTGCTTGGCCTTTGTAGCGTTTCAAGGAACAGAAAATAAATTTTGGAAATACAACCCTTGGAATATCAGTTTAGAGAGATTTATCTGCAAGCTAAAACTTCAGCTGGGTAGACACGTGAGCTTATCAAATTGAAAGGCTGCCGAAACAATTGCCTGCCAATTGGGAAGTGAGTCTTGCTTGGAAGATCAGAACTGCTCAGGTGAAAAGGGGGATTCTGTGGGTCAGAGGAGCGGCTTGGGTTGAACTGTCCGAAAAGGAACCGGACTGTGCGTGGCTTAGATGGCAGCAGGGAATGAAGAATGCAGTTCGAAGTAGAAAACAGCGCAGGGGGATATAATATGGAAGGTCTTTCCACATAGGTACTCAGGGTGTTCCCATGTGCCCTGATTTCAAGATGGCGGACCTAATTCACAAAGTCAGTTACCATTTCTGAGGCAAGTATCTCTGGACACAACTTTACAAAATTCTTAAATTTGTTGGGTATTTTACTGTTGGTTTTATTGGAACACACCTGAACATTTCACTTGGAGTGGGACCCATTGTGTACGAAAAGTAAAAGGAAATGGTAATCATAGGAATATAGAAGTCCACCTTAAACTGAGTTAGTTCCTCAGTCCATGTAAGCCAGTGTGGTCAACACTGACTGGCAGCAGCAGGATTGAGAGCAGAGGTATGCGCACATGTTTTTACAACATGAGAACAGGTATGCAGCAGCGATTTGGTGCGTCAGCGCAGTGGGTTCCTCCTGGGGGATCATCGTCACTGCAGCCACTGCCCGAACTCCTTTCCTAATTTTTAAAGTTCCTCTAAGTTCTAGTGTCCTAGTTCCGCACACTGCACACAAATGCTACATTAACTGTGTACGTGTGTTCATTCAAACGTCATCACACATTCTTTAATTCATGCAAAATGGCTGGAGTTTACAAAGCACTTGGATCGTTATTAATAAGTAAATTTGGAATAGTTCATTAATTAATGCCAGCTGGTTCTGAAAGCAGCCAGTTAACAGAAAGAATGCTAAGATTTAGCTGAAGTGGGTCTATTTTTAAAGGCTCTTTTTACCAAATGTGGCAGAACTTTTAGAATTGGTAGCAGCTGTGTCCCACGTCCTCGTTTCATTTCCCGTATGGCCCGAACACATCATCTTTAATGCATACACCCCCAAATAATTTGCTGATGGTGCTTCATGTCTTGGTTGTCACGGGTGATCCAAGAATTCCAGGTTAGGCTGGTATAATAATGATGGGTTACACATTAATGCATTCCAAAGATCGCAACCTGTCTTCTGTCTGCAAGCGGGTGCTTGGAGCTTCTTCCATAACAATGCCATTGGCTCCCAGGATGCATTTGGATACAATTCGAGGTGTTCTCTGTGTTGTTTTGTGTTTAAAGCCTCCATCCGTTGTCTGGATCCAGAGTATCTTTGGGAGGAGTTTGGTCTAAACCCTGTAATTACGGTATGGAAGTTGCATCCTAAAAGAAGGTTCCGGAGGCAAAAGGAGCTAGTGGGCTCAGGTGTCTGCTTTTTGGCAGATGAATTCATGAATTGATAACCTTGAAAAAAACCCAGACATGACCACAATCAATTCAGCAGCGTTAAACATCAGTAAGGGCATAAAATAGATGGGGTAGGTGCCATCTCAAAAGAGGCTTTGTGTTCCTTTAGAAAGGAATGCAGCTTCTATGAAGGCACTGGGTACAGACTCGAGAAACGGTGTGTTTGAAACACCAGTAAAACGTGATCCGCACATGCACTTCCTGAGCAAAACATGTGCGATTAATGGATCTGTGATTTCTTCAGCTGGGTGGCTGTACCACCGTCTCTACTCCCATAATGGAAACTTCTGTTTTGCAGGCAACCCTAGGAAACTGCAGCAGCGAGGCAGCCTTGCCCAGTTGGGTTCCCGTCCGACATGTTGGCCAGTAACTCCGGTCATCCGCAGCCAGTGTCCTAAGCTGTGACTGCCGACATTCTTCAGTGGAAACTGGTACCCCTCAGCTGGTACCAGGTTCAGGATGCAGCTGAGCTTTGGGCTTCATCGCCCATTGTCGTTTCAAGCATGCCTTCTGGACCCTAAAGACTAGGACCTTGTCTGGAAACAAAACCCACACGCAGATTCCAAGGCCAGTTCTGCATCCTGTTTTTCTTTGCTCACAGAGAGCACGGGAGGCATGGCTCCAGGTTTTCGTGGGCTCTTGGGCAAGACACCCCAGTGGGCGCTCGACCTCCGTGACTCAGTCTTTTCACCACCTTGCTCCTGTTCCTATCCTTCGTTCTCTTCCTGGCTACCGCTTGCACGCTTGCCGGCTGGGAGCAAGGGGGCACGGAGGCCGTCTGGGGCTCCTCGCCTTTCCTGTCATTGTTGGCCAGGCCGGGCCAGACAAAGACACAGATGGCAGTGCTGAGTCGGAGGGACGTGTTGAGCAACTCTTTGTAGCAGCCCCTTGCAGGGTCATGGATGGACCCTTGGCAAATGCCCAAGCGTGCCAACCCTTTGCACTGGCCCTGATGGAAACCACATAGCCTTCACTGCCATGATGCATTGCATGACTCAGTTTGGACCTCTTGGCCGTCACCAGAATGTAAGTGGGCCAAGCGTTAGTCCAGGGTCGCAAGCTTTCCATAAGATCATCTTAGACGTCCACTCAACTTCTTTCTGAAGGGTCCAGTCCTTCTTAATAATGACTTCAAGATCTCATGGGAAGGGCCAAGCAGTTCTTTTCCTACTTTATAAGTGAACAAAGCTTAACCTTGGAAAAGGTAACAGTTCAGCTTGCCGTCTCCTTCCTTTCTCGGCAGGCATCTTCTTTTAAAGTGCAAACCCGAGTACTGTGTAGAGATGTGGATTTATTGCGTTTGCCTACTTTATTCTTTAAAAAGCTAAATTGTATGCAAATATATACGGGGCTTGAGTCATGTTCTAGCACGATATGGCGACCGCTGAGAATTGCAGAGTGTTGATTCTCTGCCTTCCTGAGGCTCCGGGGCCTCGTTTAGATTCCAATCATGAGATCATCAACAGCAGTCGGAACGCCTTGAACGACATGATCCGCGTGCAGATGGAAGGAATCGGCTACGGAAAGCAGTCCCCAGAAATGTTATTAGCCAGCCCAAAGCTGGGCCTCTGCATGATCCACCCCCCCACCGCACCTGGCTGTTCCCTTATTATTATTTATTTCCTCTCTATGGTGCCCCACAGCTAAGCTATAAGGAATGTGGTTCAGCAACAGCTGTCTGCACAATTACTCATCACTTTGGATGTTCAGAAAGGTGCCTCCTTCCTTGCCCACACCTGGCCACGAGCCAGCCAAAGGAGCATTTCCAAGTGCACAAAGTTCACCCATTAGCATTGGTATTAACGCAATTCCCCAGCATTTCCCTGTGTAACAAATCAGCGCTTTGCTTCTGGTTTTAAGTGACTCTTGCTTCGTAGTTGTCGTGCCTTCTTAAAATCCTGTTTGGCGTGCTGCTCTGCTGCAAAGCTTGAAGAGCTCTCGGTGAGTGGATGAGCTGCTCTGGGGGTTCAGAACTTCAGCCGCCGGGCAGCGGCTGGGTCCCCTGCAGTCCGCAGAGGGAATCGTCTCTCCGATGACCGATTGGCGGTTGTATTTATTTCTTTTATTTTTTATTTTATTTAGAAAATTTCTATGCTGCCCCATTCGCCGAAGCCTCGGGGTGGCTCACAAAACATCAATTAAAATATGATACACTAAAAATATAAAACAAATTAACAATATAAAATAAGTCGCCCTGGCCAAAGAATAAAATAAGCAAATGATATTAGCAATTAAAATAACGTTTTAAACTTTTTAAAGTAAAGTTGTTCCAAAAGGTTGCGATGTCTTTCCAGAAGCAGCAAGAGCCTCAGGCTAACATATGCTGGTATTTTGGTTCTACCTCCTAGGATGGAGCATCTGAGGAACTGCCTGAAATGGTTTTTTTTTTTGCCGTTGGCACAAGTTAAGATTGTTGTGAGTGAGGCTTACTAGTTTATAGCCGTTTCCCCCAACCTGGTACTTTTCAGTTGCATTGGATTCCAACTCTCATGTTTCTTGACTATTGGTTGTGTTGGCTGGGGCTGATGGGAGTCAGGGTCCGAAACTGCCAGAGGCCATCCGGGTGGGGAACGTTGGCGAAGAACAAAAGTGAAACAAAGCACAATGTGATGTATTTTAATGCAGCAGCAGCCCTATTGCATATCGAGACGCTTTTGCATATAGGACGGGGTATAAATATTTTAATTAATTAAGCTCTGCATCGTGAAAAGCCAGTGAAGGGACAAAGCTAGGTTTTAACAGAAAGTGCACCTGCACTTGGGGGCAAAGGAGATGGGTACTGTGTGCTGGCGTTTCTTGTTTCCATGTATTTATTAATTTATTTGGATATTTTTACCCTGTCCAATACGAGTCGTCTCTGGATGGCTTACAATATAATAAATACCTAATAAATACATCAGACCATGACAAGATAAAATGCGACTGAGGATCTATTGATAAAAACATAATTAAAATATTGTTAAACTTTAAACTATTGGGTAAATAGAGGGGTCTTGACCTGGCGCCAAAAAGCATATAATGTCGGCGCCAGGTGAACCTCTCTGGGGAGCGCGTTCCATAGTCGGGGCGCCACCACAGAGAAGGCCCTCCTCCAGGCCTTCACTCTCCTAACCTCCTTCAAGGAGGGTTCCCAGAGTAGGGCCTCTGCTGCAGATCATAGGGGGCGGAAGGACGTATAGAGAAAAAGACGTTCCTTCAGGTATCCTGGTCCCAAGCCATTTAGGGCTTTATAGGACAACACCAGCACCTTAAAT